ATATAATTACCGTTTTATCTACCTGGTAGATTATGGTTATATATTTCTATTTTGGTAATAATATTATAAAGGATATATATCTTCTTATTATTTTAAATACCTAACAAAATTTATATATATTAATTGGTTATTTAAAATTATATTCTTTAAATATTTTATTTAAATTCTTCGTATATTAAGTTAATTATAATTATTTATTATATTTAATATTAATTGTTTTAAAGATTTTGGTATAAAATAATATTTGTTATACTTAATTTTATTATAATTTTTATATTGCGGGTAGGGAAAGATATTTTCTTAAAAATATAATAATTTCAAAAATGTTATCTTTTTACTTATTTATTTTAATAAAATGGATTTATTTTTTCTTATAAAGGAATTAAATATTTAAATTTATAATAAAATAGTTATAAATTAATTATATAGAAAAATAAATTTACAATAAAATAATAATTAATTAAAATATTAAAAAGTAGGTTTATAATAAAATAGTAGTTAATTAATTATATTAGAAAGTAGGTTTATTTTAAGGAAATTAAAGTATACTAATCGATTTAATTAATAATTTTAAGAAATCAAGGCTTAAATTTACGGTTTAAGGATTATAAGGTTATTTATAAAATTAATAAGTTATTTATAAAATAAAATTAAATTGTTAGTAATTAAGTAATTATTTAAAATTGTTTTAAAAATAGGGGTGATTTTTAAATAAATTAATTAAATCTAAAGTTTTCGAGGTTTTAGGCGTTGTAAAATTATTTTACAATATTTATAATTTAAGTTTTTATAAAGTAATTAATAAAAGAATTATTATCTTAACTATTGAACAGGAGTTGGTATCTCCTGCAGAGTATGGCATATCACTTCAACGTTTAGATCCTCGTAAAAGGCCCTAAACAGTTAATAATAGCACTATACTCTGGAAGAACTATAAGGATCTACTAATCGAATAAGATATATAAGATAAATATGTAAGATAGGGCCATAAGCTATAAATATAAGAAAATAACAAATATATCTATATTAAATACATAATTGAATAGTAATAATCGTAGTTTTCTGATTAAAAGAATACGATAAATATTAGACTTTTATATGGCCTATAACCTAAGATTACATAATAATACCCTTGTTCTTGGCGATGTGGCACCACACCAGTTCACTATTTAGAATAGGTAAATAAAAAAAAATTATAAGATAAATTAATTATAATTTTTAAAATAAAAAATATGGTATAATATTATATTAAAGGCTTTTAAGTTATTAATAAAATAAAATTATTAAATATTAAATATTATAATAAATAAAAAATTAAAGTTATATTAATAAAAAAAATAAAATCTTTTTAATTTATGTAAATAGGAAATAAGTTAAACTATTTTATTTATATTATCGTTATCATAATCTTATTATGTAATCTCATCATATAATAATAATATAATTATTATTTTATTTATTTAATAAATTATAGTTATATATTTTTATTTTAATAAAACTTATAAATATTAATTACTTATTTAAGGTTATATTTTTTAAATATTTTATTTAAATTTTTATATATTAAATTAATTATAATTATTTATTATATTTAATATTAATTATTTTAAAAATTTTAATATAAAATATTATTTATTATATTTAATCTTATTATAATTTTTATATTATAAGTAAAAAAAGATAATTTCTTAAAAATGTAATAATTTTAAAAACGTTATCTTTTTATTTGTTTATTTTAATAAAGTAGATTTATTTTTCCTTATAAAAAATTAAATAATTAAATTCATGGTAAAATAGTTATAAGTTAATTATATTAAAAAATAAATTTATAATAAAATAATAATTAATTAAAATATTAAAAAATAAGTTTATAATAAAATAATAATTAATTAATTATATTAAAAAATAAGTTTATAATAAAATAATAATCGGTTAAATATGTAGAAAATTAAATTTAATTATTTAATTTAAAAAAAGTAAAATGTATTAATCGATTAATTAATGGTTTTAAAAAATCAAGGCTTAATTTTACAATTTAAAGATTATAAAATCGTTAATTTAATAAAATTAAATTGTTAATAATTAAATTATCGTTAATAAAGTTTTTAAAATAAAAGTGGTTTTTAAATAAATTAATTAAATTTAAATTTTTATAAAATAATTAATAAAGGATTTATTATTTTAACTATTTAAAATAAGTAAATAAAAAAACTATAAAATAAATTAATTATATTTTTTAAAATAAAAGGTATAATATAATATTATATTAAAAGCTTTTAAGCTATTAATAAAATAAAATTATTAAATATTAAAAATCACCGTAAATAAAAAGTTAAAATTATATTAATAAAACTTTTTTTAATTTATAAAAATAAAAAGAATAAATTAAGTTAAGCTATTTTATTTACATTATCATTATCGTGATATCATTATCACGTGATCTTGTTAAATTTATTTTTATAATTTAATTTTAATTTTTTATTTCTTATAATTTTTAATAAATTATAAATCGTTAAAACATTAATTATAAAATAAAATATATAAAATATATTTTATTTAAAAAAAAACTTTTAATAACATTTATAAATTATTATATATTTAAATAATATTATAACTTTTAACATTATTTTATAATTTAATATTAAAAAAATATTAAATATTAAAAATTATAACAAATAAAAAATTAAAATTTTATTAATAATTAATTAATTATTATTATTAATTAATTAATTAATTTTATTAAACATTAATAAAACATACATTATTATAATTTTATAAATATTTTATTAATACCATTTTATATTAAAGATTAAATAACATGTATTAATTATGTAACAATTACGAAGTTAAACTATTGTTATACATGCCTACCACTTGTATTTCCAATTTTACTCTCCAATCTCAGGTTTCCGGCCGTATACAATGGTCCTAAAATTGATCACTTGTTAGCATAAAAATTCCACATATTCATAAAAGACATTAAGCTCCGCCCTCAATGTTACAGTTGGTATGGATTTCACTCACACTTGAAGCCAGCCACAAAGGCTCCTTTTCTTCAACTCCGCTCGATACTTGGCTACGAATAAAAGTATCTCCTCAGCTGTCCACCCCAAGGCTTTGCTAAACAAATAGAGACAGAAGCCTTCAAGACTCTGGTCCAACATCGCGAACATCAGTAGGCCTGCTTGTTGTAGTTTAGGATCTCGTGGCCAGCCATGACAAGGCATCTTGACCTTGACGTCGTGGACGTCGACAAAGCCGGCTTTGGTCATTGCATCTTTTAAAGTGTTGTCGTACCCGATACGAAATGACTGTCCCAATTTGTCACCGGCTTCGTAGAATGCCTCAGCCCAGGTATTGAACATGTGATCTTCGGGAATGACCGCATGATCCGATTGTATACGCACATCGAACTCTATATCCTCGCACCACTTACCCGGCTTGAGGTGCTTGAAGGCCTTCTTATATAGCTCGGTCCAGTCAGGTATGCTCCCTATTTGAGAAGATTTGTTAGAATGTATCTACAAAATATAGCGATCCAGCTAGTTTTAATTGGAGAATTACCATAAAGCATTCTCATGTGGATATAGTCGAAATGGTTCTCGGGCCACGTCCAGTCGAGAAGACAATCATCAATCTCAAATTTAACATTCGGCGGCATCCAAGCAGGTTGTATCGGGCTAAGATCGGTCCCTATCACCTCTGCCGCTGGATAAACGTCTGCAAAATCGCTAGAGTTACTCTAGTTTAGCGACCGGAGCTCGATGTGGTTGTATGTTCCCCGCTGAATACTTACATTGCCCATATCCCAGTTCCAGTTCCTACGTCGAGCACCTTCTGTGGATTTTCGCCGATAGGTGCAAGAAATAGCTCATCGCCCATAACCATCAAGCAGGCGTTGTGGAGCAAGTCGAGACCTTCATTCTGTTGTTCATCATTCGGAGCCCAATACTCAGACGTCTTGGGCGCATTGAACGTCCTACCGTGCAGTACGCGATAGGCGTAGATACTTTCAGTCAATGAGCCGGTGGAAGATTGTCTTGTAAGTGTTACTGTTAGCTTCGAAGTCGAACCCAGGTCACGGAGAAGTGAGTATTGTTATACATTGAGCTACCAACAGCCGAATTGGCGTCGTCATTGTCATCCGGCTCATCTATGTCATCGGCCTACATGCGATGTCAATATCACGATCGAAGGAACCAAGGCGCATGCAAAAAGGATAGCCTACCACTTCGATATGTTGTTCGGTACCAAAAGCTTCTCCTTCGGGCGTTGCACTTTTCGCAGGGCTCCTGGGAGATGTTGGGCCTTTAGGTGATGCTGGAGACGCAGCAGATGCAGCGGATGCAGTAGCTGTTGTCGCCGCCGCGGCTCGCGGGGATAGTGTCTTTGCGGTGGTATCCGCCATTGCTCTCCTGAGATATTTTTCGGTTAACTACCAGTCCTGTGTAAGAGCCAGTAGTGCCCTGGGTGTGTGAGGAGAAAATAAGTAAACAGCAGTCAGACGTGAGGTGCTAAAGTAAGGAGAGAAGGGCACTAATCAACATAGCAAAAATGTGGGTGCGGATATGAAGAACGGCTGGTCCCGCGCCACGCGGGCCAGTGGAGAAAAATGAGTTGGCCGCATCTCGAAGCTGGCTCTTTAACCAAAAGGGAATAAAGTGCCAGCGGCGTTGGTTCCAACTTACAAGGACCCCCAGATCCCAAAGCCAGCATTCTAGGTTCCATCAACAACTTCAACCAATCAAATGGAATATTCTCCAATACCTGCGGGGTACCGTTACTATGTATGTTCGACTCGTGAAAAACAGCCTGCCGAGCAGCTACCGAAAAAAAGAAGTGGATTGTCTAGGGTGTAAGACTTTCATAAAAAATGACATGTATTTCCTGTCTCGAATTCCAAACTCTGGCGGTGAGGAAGAATCCCTGGGGTACACATGGTTTATATCGGCAAACTCGGACAACAGGATGTGCACCTTTCTCCCCCCCACATGCTTGGGACGATATTAGAATTTCTAGAAAAAGTAGTCCACTCGCAGATGATGGAATATGACAAGCATAAATGATACATATCAATGACTATTGGTTTCTATTATGGATTGGAGAAGCGGGGGTGCTCGCATTTCATCCTTACTCTTCTTCTCCAAGGCAGCAAGGGCATTTTCTTAACATCCAGCTTCGGCTCATCCAACCTGATCGAGTAGTTATCGGGTAGATAGATACCTTACTTGGTTAAAAAGCTGCTTGCTCCGTGCTCGCCATCTTCGCCGTAGTATGTAATCATAATAATGTCAGTGCTTGGTTTAATTTCCACTTCTGAACCTCACGCTTGATGAGCCCATCCCACTTTAACATAATCGGATGTTCCTTTGCGACGTCCTCGATCAAGATTTCACCATCACCTCCAGATCCTGTAACGGAATATTTCCAGTTACCATCCGAGGTCCAAAATTCCTCTGCGAATATCACCTCGGTGCGCAGCTCCTTTGATGCATCTGACAAAAGTTTGTCCACATGTGCCGAGCTATTAATGCTGTTTTCCCTCAAAGCTGCAGCCATACCCTCAAGGAGCCCTAGTAATCGACCAGCCTTCAGTCCGAGTTCAGCGCCTAGGTCAAACCCTTCATCGAACCCGGCCTGCATACTTTCGGCTTTGCCAGCGGTAATACCACCACGATAACCTTCGGTGGTATGTTGAGTTTGAAGTCTTCTCGTATCTGGTGAGAATATCCGGCTGCTCTCCGACTGGTCGTGAGATACCGCCAATTCGGTAGACTGCTGAAGATCCGGGCCGATCATGTCATCGAAAGGTTCAAAATAAGCCGGTGCATGGACAGGATCCATATATGTATATAACTCGCTGTCCCGAGGTTCAGGCGGTGGTAAATGCATTGCGGATGTCTATTTATTTGTTATTCGTTATCATGCAGCCATGCATGATGAGGGGAAGGGGAGAATGATGCTAGTTCAAGTCTGATCGGTCCCAGAAATTTTTCAATTTTAAGTATTAATTCGTACCAATTTGTTAACATTCACCTACGCCTACGGTATTTACACACCTTTCCCATGAGCTTATTAAAGTAAGCGACATAGACTACCAATGCATAATGCATTTAATTGGGAATAAAGGAATTGACAACTCAATGTTTACCAATCTCATATAATTCGCGATGCTATGACAATTGAGTATCTAAACACTTAAAATCATCTACGTATTAACGTATACGCACGTAAAATATGCATGGAAATAGCCTACTTTTAGAGAAGATGTCAATATCACTATAGGGGGTAATATTTAACATGCGTGGCCTGGTCTCGGGGTCCGCACGCTTATGATGCACCAACTTGTTACGATGTTATTTCTTAGGTCAAGACTCAAAACTATCACTGGATTGCTATCGTATCCCTTCTCATTCCCGGTCAACGACTACTTTCACTGTGTATGATTATGTTCTAGCCTAATTATTCTGGTGGTAGTCCCCCTCTTCTACGCATAGCCGGGCATTATATCAATCGTACCGGAGACTATATCTTTTCTCTTAAGGCTCTAGATAAGATATTTAGAGCAAAGGATGCTTTCAGAATATACAGATATACAGCACAGGTTTGTATGGTAAGAATCGAGGTTCCTTGCGGAAGAAAAAAGTTATTTGCATACCTCTTAGTCTACCCCGTGATATTAACTAGTAAGAAAACAATGGCGTGGTCGGGCAAGTGACCTAGTTCGGCAAGTATTCAAATCATGTATACCGTAACTCGGAATATATCTCCAGGGGCAGCAGGACGTTGGACCCGGCGTATACCATGAGATTAGTTCAATGTCTAAGCATAGGCTATTTATTTATCCAAAGATATAGACTTAGAAAGAGACGTGATAGGCTAAGAGATACCTAGTAGTGGAATAGAGAAAGGAAGTATTATCAGTTCCCTGAGCAACCGAGACATCTACGGCAAAAAAAACTCTTCGCTTTGTTAGTTATCTAGTCTTAGTTAGCCAGACCTATGCCCTCGCCCTTTATTTACATCCTTCAAAGGCATATGTTAGAATGGCTTCTGCTCTGCGGGACTCTTGAGAAAGCTGGAAGCACGTAACTCTACACCCTAGGAACACGGAGAATAGCTTAATTAGGTACATATTACTTGATTGTCTTCTACTTACGAGATTACTATCTGGTAGTCAACCTAACTCACCATAGGAACTCTACGCACCAACTTGCAATATCCTACTTACTATATACTAATAGTAGATATTGACAGCTCATTATTTATTCTACCACCTTATTCAAGGTTCCCAAGGTGATTGTGTCTAGTGGCGGCGTGACAGGATTAACCTATTAAATATACTAGGGGACGCAACCTTATCACATCAGACTTCCTCTCAAAAAAGGACACAATTAAGCTGGGAAATTTTAAAATTATTGTTAATCTTGAGATACCGCTGCATATAGATGTAGTCATTACTTGTGGTCGTTTATAGGTTATAGAACAAGTCTAGGAATTAATACTCTATAGTATATATGATGTTAGAAGTATTTGAGTGCAAAGGGGGGCTAGGTGAGAGATAGGGGAAAAGAAACTTCATCATAGTAGTCGTCGAGTGATTGAAATACTAAGTAGCAACTCAAATTAGTCAAGAGATCAGCCTAGAGACGGCAGGACACGAAAGTCTTGACATGAAGCATGCTGCCTGGGAAGGGTTACTCAAAAATATATCGTCAATATCGAACCAGTGCGACAAATCGGTTTTTATATATTAATACTCTTATCGTCACTATACTGCTGGATCAGCATCATACCAAGACTAGTATTGTAGATGAAGCGGCTGTAATGCCTCAAGTGGATGAAACTTTAACACGTGCAGAAACAAATAAACAGTCAGTAAGCTAACAGCCAAGGCCGATGGAAAAGGAGACGGGCCACCCCTTAAAGTTCACATAAACCAACTAAACTAATCTGAATACAGGTTCATATCGTATAGTCTCTCGTCCTGTAGGAAATGACACTCTTCGAGGTATTCCTTGGCAAGAGGTCCGCCGTCATTTTTACGTACAATTCCAACGACGACGATAGGAGGTTATTATGGCTTACACATAATATTATATTACGTGGTGGTTGATACTAAGCTCATATGATTATATAAAGTTGGGATGTGTAGCAAATTTCGTCAATTATAACTTAAGACATATAATTAATTATCTTAAAACATAAACATATAAATACATGGTTATGAAGCATTCGTTAACAATGGCCCGAAACTAATCTCACTAAGACACAGCACTGAGATCTTAGATTTTGAATCAGTCCTAATTCATCCTAATCTCTTGGGTCGGATTGGCTGGAGATATATATAGCCTTGGCTTACATACAAAATGCCACACCGAGACATTGCCACCCTGCATCGATCATGCTAACCCATGTCGTCAATCCTTATCTTTTAAATCCGCCGCTTGCTAGTTAGACCAGCAAATTTGCACCTTGAAAATTTCTAAGGACAAGCCCTCCAGCCATTAGCAGCAAATTATGGCTTGCCTTGTATCGAATAACAAGCGATAGGAAAACAGTAAACCTACTAGGTAATCTATAGTAAAGGCTCCCCGCCCCCTGTTCGATGCTAAAATAGAAGTGATAAGATCCGTAAAGGTATTATCTCATTTAATTAACACTAGATCGTCACTAGCCAATACCACCATGATTAGACATCTTCATGTCTCCCCAACTTGCTAGAATCGTATTTTTCTTCTCTTTTCATCTAGGTGCTCGCGTGCCATGTGGCTTTTGGCCTTTTGCCTTGCGGATACTTCTTATGTGCTGACATCAATATTTCATCATTCTTATCTCCCCTTCTCTTTCATACGACAATCCTAATTCATACCGGTACTGTTTGCGACTTACCTCGGTTTACCGTTGCAGCACTATCCAGTGGTCTGTAAGTCGGAGCAGTTACTCTGTGACCTACCAAACTCGTCGCAAAGGGCGAAACCTGCTAGCCCAGAGGTCACCCATCAACATGGCGTGGGTTCACGATTTCAATGTTAGGGTAGCGAAAAGTCCTGTCGGGCGGTGGTTCCAGCTCGAGGGATCACGTCACGTAAGCTATCCTATGACACCCAAGTAGCTGAGGTCTACGACGGAGACTTGATTACTGACGAGGTTGTTATACTGTAATATAGCCCAAGGAACGAAAAGGTTCCCATTTCTTCACCGAGCTGCGCGCTGGAGTCGCTGCTTTTTTCGCTATGGCCTATATCATCGCAGTAAACTCTAGCATTGTATCTGATACGGGCGGTATGTCTCCAGTTGCTCTCGTTATTCTACTAGAGTTTAAGGGGCTAACAACTACTCGAAGGTACCTGTGTGTGCAACGGCGGACTAGCTGACCCGCTATGTAAAGTGAACGAGGAGTATTTGTTGTGTGCTGCTGAAATCAAGCGCGATCTTGTCACGGCGACGGCCGCCATCTCAGCGTTGTCGTCATTTTGCATGGGTTTGTTTGCAAACCTGTATGTGCTGCCTTTCCAATCCCCTGTGGCTCTAGAACCTAGCTAATGAATCCTTCTAATCATAGCCCGGTCTCTTTAGCTCCTGGTATGGGCTTGAATGCCTACTTTGCTTATACCGTAGTCGGATATCACGGTGCGGGCCTTGTGCCTTACTCTGTAGCTCTAACGGCCATCTTCGTCGAAGGATGGGTTTTCTTCGCCCTTGCTATACTTGGCCTCCGTCAATGGCTCGCTAGGGCTATCCCGCGATCGATCAAACTTGCTACGAGCGTGGGTATCGGCCTCTTTCTAACCTTGATCGGGTTAACATTTAGCGAGGGCATCGGACTCGTGACTGGTGCACAGGACACGCCGATGGAGCTAGCTGGTTGCTCAGCTGTAGACACAGAGACTGGGCGCTGTCCCGATGGCGACAAGATGCGTAATCCGAAGATGTGGATTGGTATATTCTGTGGTGGCGTTCTAACCACGCTCTTGATGATGTATCGTGTGAAGGGGGCTATCATCGCTGGAATTTTACTTGTCAGTATCATCTCGTGGCCACGAGGAACTTCTGTCACCTATTTCCCAGATACCACTGTTGGCGATGACGCTTTCGATTTCTTCAAGAAGGTTGTCGACTTCCATCAGATCAGCAAGACTCTCACAGTCCAGCGTTGGGACATTGCGGAATATGGGGGCCAGTTTGGCTTAGCGTTTATCACTTTTCTCTACGTCGACATCCTTGACTGCACAGGAACCTTGGTGAGTACACTCTGGAGTTGTTTTCTTTCTTATTTTGCATCTACCTTTATATAGATGCTCCCTATAAATGGCATGCTGACACTAGGCCTTCTAGTATTCGATGGCACGATTTGCCAATGTTATCGACCCGGTGACCGAGGATTTCGAGGGCTCAACCATGGCATATATGGTTGATGCGATTAGCATATCTATTGGATCTCTCCTGGGATGTCCACCTGTTACTGCCTTCGTCGAAAGTGGAGCTGGTATTGCTGATGGTGGGCGGACCGGTCTTACTTCGATGACTACGGGCCTGTGTTTCTTCATTTCCATCTTCTTTGCACCAATCTTCGCGTCAATCCCTCCATGGGCTACAGGTTGCGTACTGGTTTTGGTCGGATCAATGATGATGCGGGCAGTAACTGAGATTAACTGGAATTATATTGGCGATGCCATACCCGCCGTTAGTAGCACCCGAAACTCTCTGTTTCTATGTTTCTGTCCATCTACGTAGTGGTGACCATTAACTAACTTCACATGATCTAGTTCGTGACTATATTTGCAATGCCTTTCACGTACAGCATTGCTGATGGTCTTATTGGTGGCATTTGTTTATATGTCTTACTCAATACCCTAGTGTGGCTGATCGAGAAGGTATCTGGAGGACGTATTGTCCCACCTAACAAGGCTGAAAAGGACCCCTGGAATTGGAAACTCCGTGGTGGTATTTTACCACCCTGGGTAGTGCGCCTTTATACTGGCAAGAGTAATTTCTTACAGGATACTCCTGCGACAGAATCGAGCGTTGATGTACCTGGAGAAGACCATATGGCGAAGACGAAATCGAAAGAACATGGAAGGGGCCACACCGAAGAGTCTACACTCCAGGTCCAGGAGAAGTCTGCTTAAATATCATTCATATATGATGTAACGTGTATATATAGTCAACTCTGCACATATGGAATATATATATGTCTTGGATATATTTAGCTGGGTAGCCTCATAACAACAGACCTTCTACAATATTGGGACGGAAGTATGATTTGGGTTGACTTTGTATGCATGCTACGTTAGAAAGAACTTTGGATCATAGATGGAGCCATACGGATAAATAGGAAATACTTTATAGTTTTTCTTTTTCTTTTAAATACTGATGTTGGATTACCCTCGATGGGATTTGTCTACTGGCTAGCTACTAGTATCAGCTAAGTAATAAAACACATACCGACCCAGTGCTCTCTCTACCTGCTCCAATCCACATCCAAATTCCAAACGCCTCCCCGAATGTGCCAGAGTTAATAAAACAGTCCACTCCGTATCAATGCTGCAATGAATGGGATCGTTACACGCCCATTGTAAAATCATGCTCGATGCCGGGGGTAACACTGGCCATGAACTGGACTTTAGTTAGTGTTATTCAAGATTTCATGTACCCAGGCCTGACTTGATATTCAAAAATTCATTCACATACCTTAAGAAATACAACGAGATATTGGTCAACTCGGATAGCTACCTCTTGGTCTTCTACCTCCACCTCTTCCCAATCGTCATTACTTGATTCGGCAGCGGCTTCAGCACTCTTGACATCAAGCTTATTGATCTCGTCCACTAGACCTTCCATGCCAGCATCAATGCCAACTGCCTTTCCGGACTTCATCTTGTCACGTCTTATTTTTAAGGCGGCATCCGCGCGATCCAGGAGAGTCTTCATGACAGAGGCATGTTTGCACGGATGCACGCTAGCCATCTTGACGTTGTTGGCAAAGAAAGGGAAGTCTTCTAATGTCACCGTCTTGTCTTTGTAGTCGCCGACGATATCTTCCATCATTAGATGAGGAGCGAGGGGTTGTCCTTCGGTGTAGCCTGATAGATATAGGCGGGGTGTGCGGTAGTAAGGGGAATACATGATGTAAAGGGTGTACGTGCGACGGGCGCTATAAGGTATGAAGTTAGCTTTCGGATTTCCAAGGAGGAGATAGAAGCAGAGGGGCACCTACGCCGTTCTCCTGTGCGGATCGACATCGCGAATGATGGCTTCGTCATCGTCATCGTCATCCTCCATGTCCGGGATTTCATCTTCATCATCTAGGCCATCTCCGACATTCCCCGCATCATCAACGGTTCGTACGTCCTTAGCTTTGAGTGGCTGCGAGCTGCTTAGACCACCTGTGCGTAGCCATCCGTCATCGTCACCGTGGCCTTTGGGATTGAAATCGTCACCGTCGCCAACCACTGCTTCTTCGTGACCCGCATCTCCAGCAAAGTCTTCATCGAGGCGGCGGTTGCAAGGAACGTTTCGTGTGACTAAGAACTGCTTTCCGGGTGGTAAGTAGGACACGCGCTTGGACTCGGAATCGGCATCTACCCAGGACCAAGTTGGGAATTTGAAGACGAGGTAGTCGCCAGCCGCTAGAAACTCTTCGGGGGTGATCTGGCCCGTCTTTCGAAATGTTGACGTGTGGCTCACGGGAGTGTACTTGTCCCGGATCGTGTTGACCGTCGAGTATATGAGATTCATCTTGGATAGATATCTCTTGATTACGAACCACGCTTCGGTGCTGGCGCTTCTTTTCTCAACTATAAGATGGTCGGGTGGAATAATAGGAACGAAGATATGACTGCTTTCAGGTTTAAAGAAATCGAGATGGGGATGGAAGAAACAAAGACTACGGATGATGATGGGGGGGTAAGAGTTGTTCGTGACGTGCGGGAATACGTAGAATAGAATAGTGACCTGCACTTGATTGTAGATTAGGCTGCTAGTGGAATTAGTTTGTAGGCAACCTTTTTATATGAGCCCTTTTATATAAGCAAGTCGTCTTCATTCATGCACCTACTTTTAAAGTTGCTTGATAACGTTCGGAGGACTGGCCTTGTCACATGGGGCGCAAGCAGGTAAGGCACAGGGACAAGCTCTAGCAGTCTAGGTATGGCAGCTGAGAGAGAGTGAGGAGGGGCAGCTCCGACTCCTCTACCTCTCCTTATCTTATCATAAGTGTACCTGCTCTAGGTGGATGCGGTACTTTATTTCAGGTACCTAGGTATCATCGTATATGTGCATTAGCTCAAGAGCACTGTCCATATTCAATAAACGAAGCGATTTAGTAGATTTAGGGCTGTCGCTTCGGGTACTTCTCGGATAATTTGTTCCTGACTCCCCACGAAAATCGCAATCCAAAAATTTCGTTCGAGACGCAAGCAACACCACCACTTTACTAGTCCAGACGTACAACACCCTACTTACGAAACTTTCTCTCTCCAAGATCACATTGAAGGTAAGAAAATATAACCAGACATTCCGAAAAATATTCAAATCTTAATTAATTGCGTTCCTTACGTTGCCTGCAATACTAACAAGTATTTATTACACAGTTTCGCAGTCAAGATGAGTGCGTACCCCTTCGAAACGATCTTTCCGCTGTCAACACCCGACTGACTTCGAATATAGCCAAGGGAACTTCCAGCTTCGGAAAGCGTCACAACAAGACGCACACTCTGTGTCGACGATGTGGTTAGTAAAATCAATCTCTGGGGACGATACGGTTTTGTGTTATGCGATAGATGCGGATCGTATTCCAAGACTATGACGGAACTTCATTGACGAATGTATCTACAGGACGTCGTTCTCTTCACATCCAGAAGCACACCTGCTCCTCCTGCGGATATCCCGCCGCTAAGACCCGAAAGTGTACGTGAAGCCCTCGATTTTGGAAGCGAACCAATCACCATACCGAAGAATGGAAAATGATTGTCTTAATGTGGTGGTGCGAAGCTGACCCTGATAATTATAGACAACTGGAGCGAGAAAGCCAAGCGCAGAAAGACCGTCGGCACTGGCCGCATGCGCTACCTCAAGGATGTCTCTCGCAGATTTAAGAACGGATTCCGAACCGGCGTACCCAAGGACGCGCGAGGTCCAGTTGCGAAATAGGATGTTCATCGGGAGAAGTGGTAGATGAGGGCACTGGCATGGCAAGGGAACGGTGTTTCTGACATTTGGGCTGGCTCATGGCGAACTCGTACATATTCTGAGTTCGGCGGAAATGTAATGCTAGCATTTCCGAACAAAATGGCATCATGATCTCACATGTTTGACGAGGCTCTCTAATTGTTACATCGCAAGTAACTACTCGACGTCCGTGGGCCGTTAGGATGCCTATCGGTTTAGAGAAGATGGGTTTGATGGTAGGCTCTAGTTTGAGCTTAGGAGTAGGCTCCGAGACCTAATCGCATGAAGCTATCTTGGACTGATTAAACCTATGCTTGGGCTGACTTTATGCTTTCTTGGAAATGCATCATTGGCAAGATAGCTATTGACCCCGTTCGAATACTTTGACCCCACCATCGCTCGCTACGAGGTATAGCAATTCCCGTTCCTCGGTCGACCCATCTATCCCATTGTACCCGCTGCTTGGGGTGACTCTTATGACACCACTTACGTCTCTAGCAGTTCCCGTATCCAGCATCCTTAGACTGATCACAAGGTTGGCATCATGGGCTAAGGTTATAGCGAATGCAGCGTGCTCCTTTTCTAATGATGTCGTTTGTAATGACATTAATGGTTCATCTGCAGATAGGGTGATGATGGATGAATGTACTTTCTATTGCAAGCCTATTATTAATCGACAATACATACTTGGGAAGCCATGATGTATATGACATGTCCGTTCTTCGGCAACTTACCTCGCGAATGCTAAGCAGGGTATCCCGTAGTGCTCGGCTCGAAATATCGTCCCCAGAGGCAGCCAGCAGCAGGTCCAACTGGTCAGCAATCAAGACAGTTCTTTGCTTAGAAGCAGAGCGCTGAACTTGCGCTACGATGTCTTCGAGTTCTTTGCGCAAATACTGTAGTGAGGCAGCAGACAAGGCCTTCCTCCCGGTGACATCATCTTGAGGATGTCCCTGGGAGCGGATAGGTGATGCGCAGTACAAGCTAGAGAGACCGTCGACGAAGAAGAATTTGCCCTTCCTGGTTAATGCATCAAGATCAAGACCAAGTTTTCCGGCACCCTCCTTCCAGAAAGTGTAGTCGCGTAGAAAGCTGACAAAAACTATACTAGTATGCTCTATGCTAGACGAATCGGCATCCTCTTTATTTTCTTCTCTTGCTATCGAGTTGGATGGGGTCGAAAGTAGACAGTAAAGATAGCGGAGAACCAGCCAGTTCGTACTTGACCCCAGAACCCCACTAAGAAGGACGAGGGATGTCTCAGGTGGTAGGTGTAGATAGGTGTCTAGGAGGGGTGGAATTCGAGACGCCATGAGGTGAGATGCTGGAGCTGCACAAGATTGGGCAACTGGCCGAGATAAAATCTGTGCAGATAGCATATCATCAGCAAGGGCTTCTACCACGACCAACCACCCAAGATTGTGGGCTAGGATCGGTAATCAGATTGTGGGGTATGCGAACAGTAAATGACACGATATTAAGTTATGGCGTTGACGGTTGGATCTACATTACGTATTGCGTACACGGCAATAAGCCGAAGAGCCGTATTGAGATAGACGAGATAGGCGCTGGCATAAACATTTTGGCCCGGTGCGGTAACGCAAGTCTCAAGAACCGGAATCATGTTGAACAGAGTCTACAGACAATCCCAAAGTTCCCCCGGCCCAACAGCCCAAAGTTTAACCTAATATAGTAAGGTATGGGCTATAACTTTTCGAATAGACTCGATGAGATTTGATTGGTTAAATTTTAAAGCTTTATACGATGATTTAATTAAATTAAATTTAACTTAATTTAATTTTAAAATATAAGGCATTTTATTAACGAAATAGTAAAAAAATAAAAGGTAATAAATTATTTTAATGTAATAATTAAATGTAATATTATCGCACGGTGCACGGGCCTTATAGCCGTGGGTGTAACGTAACCGTTACACCGGTTATAAGTAATTAAAGCGTTAATTACTTTTATTATGTAAATATTAAACAAGACTTAAACGTCTTGGCCTTGGATCAAGCCTTATTAAACCTAATATCAAGGACTTTTAAATGATGAAACTGATGAAGGAAAGGAATGACTTGTATTGAAAGTGGATGATATTATGTAAAATAGGTGTGTGCGACCATAAACGGTACTTATACTAAGAATATGATCACATGATCAGGGTTAAGGTCACCTGATACACCAGCACCAGTTTAATATTAATTATAAAAGGGATGTGTTTTTTATATTTTATATTAAAAATTTTTTTTTAATAATATTTAAGTTATTATATATATTTAAATAACATTAATAACTTTTAAACAAATATTTATATATATATAATATAAAATAAAAATAACTTTATATATGATTTTACTTATTTTATTTATTATTATATTAACACGTGACTTAGTTTATGGTTTATATAATTTATAATATTTAATAAAGTTTTTTAAAAATAAAATAAAAATAAAATAAAATAATTAATTACTTAATAATTAATAATTAATTAATAATTTATTAATTAATTTTATTTTATAAGTTAAGCTTAAAAAGCGTTAAAGTTAATCCGGATAATAAGTTTTATTATATCGGGTTAAACTTTAAGTTATTAAACCGGGAAAACTTTAAAATTGTTAAAATACTTTATTAAACAAGGATTAATACGTATAAAAAATAATACGGCTTATTTAAACTATGCGGTGCAAGTATTAAAAGATAGTAAAGTTAATTATAAATAAAGTAAAAAAAATTTTTAAACGTTTTATTTTTATTATAATAAAATCGAAGGCATAATTTATTTTAAAGTTATTATTATATAATTAATACGTATTAAATAAACATTATATAAGATTTAATTAATAATATTTTTAATAATTTAATTAATTAAGGTAAAATTATAAAAACGTATATTACATTGTTATTTTATATAAAATTAAAGATTTTTAAATTATTTAATATTTTTCTTTTTATAATTTTTTTATTTATAAATATTAAAATATAAGGAATAACTAATTATGTAATTTAATTACATGTTACCACGTACATGGGGTTAAACTTAAAAAGGTTTACTTTTTAAATTAACCCGTATATACATAACTTAACAACAAATAAGAATAAATCGTAATAGCTTTATTTTAATATTATATGTTTTCCTTTTTTTTTCTTTATTATATATTTATTAATGTATACTTAATCCTTACTTAATTATTACCTTATACTTAATCTTTTTTATATTAATTAATAATTAAAAAATTATAAATTAATAAAAAAAAGAAAAAACAAAAACGGTACTAAATCTTTTACGTTTTTAAAAAAGGTAAAAAAACGTATATCGTATAATTTTAATAAAAAAAATAATAAACTTTCACCCGGTTATTATATTACTTTAAAATTTTAAAGCTTTTAATTAAATTAAAAGATTCGCATTTACCATATATTTTTACATACCTTTATTATATTTACCACTTAATATAACTTTAATATAAAATAAATATGTTAATAATAATACCTTAAGTAAAAACCTTATAATATTTAATAAAACTATAATATAATAAATTAATATTTATTACATTAAAACCTTTATAATATTTAAAAATATTATATATAATAATAAATTTTAAAAAATTTTTATATTAAAATTTAAAAAATAAAAAATAAAGTATTTTTAAAAGGTTAATCGTACGTTTTAAAAACTTATAATAAATTACCTATTATATTATAAGGTTTATTATAACTAAATTAAATTTATCCCCGAAATATTAAAAATAATAATTAACGTAAATAAATTCTTAATATTTTTAATAAATAAACGTATATATTTTTCGAAATATTATTTTAATAACTTTATATTAATAATTAACCCTTTTTACGTTAATAAATTAAATAAAATTATTTTAACAATATTATAAAAACTTTAAATATAAACAGTATAATTTAACCCACCAGTTTTAATATTACGAAAAATATTAATTTTAACCTTATAAAAAATAACACCGAAATTAACCCTATAAAAAACACCAGTTTTAATATCATTAATAATATCGAAACCGATTTTATAAATAACCCCCGATAAGTTTATTATATATAAACAGTTAATAAAATTACTTTAAAACGTTATAAGTTATATTAAAATATATTAAATAAAACTTAAACGTTTTAACCTTAAATTAAACCTTATTAAACTTAATATTAAAGACTTTTAAATGATGTTTAATGATAAAAAGGAATGACTTGTATTAAAAGTGGATGATACTATGTAAAATGGGTGTGTGCGACCATAAATGGTACTTATACTAAGAATATAATCATATGATCAAGGTTAAAGTCACTTAATACACTAGCACCAGTTTAATACAATAATAATAAATATAACAAAGATAAAAAATATAATTTAAATAATAACATATTAAATAAAAAGATCAACACCGTAAAAGATCTTTATTATAAGGTTAAAATTGGTTAAAAATAACTTTAAATTAATTAAAACAGCTTCGTTTTTAACTTAACAATATTAATCTTAACAACTTCGATAACCTCGTTTTTAAGCTTAATAAAATCGATTAATATAACTTTATCCCTAGCTTAATAATCCACCCTTACTTTAATATTACAATACCTAACCACTTTAACTTACTTAAACCTTTACAATGTTATTAATTATAATATTATAATACCCCGATAACTTTAACTAGCTTTAACCAGTTTTAACTAACTTTAATTAACCTTAACCTTAACTTTAACCTTATAATAAAATACAGTAAATTTAAAGATATTATAAAATTAAATTTAAGGTTAAATTTAAAGATATTGAACTGGTGCTGGTGTATCAGGTGACCTTGACCTTGATCATGTGATCATATTCTTAGTATAAGTACCATTTATGGTCGCACACACCCATTTTACATAGTATCATCCACTTTTAATACAAGTCATTTTTTTTCATCAGTTTCATCATCTAAAAGTCCTTGATATCAGGTCTAATAAGGCTTGATCCAAGGCCAAGACGTTTAAGTCTTGTTCAATATTACAATCTTAATTTAAATCATTACGTTATACGAAAAAAGGAAAGAAAAAAAAATTTACTAATATTAAAATATAAAAAATAGTTAATTATATAAACTAATCACGTGCCACCACGTACATAAAGCTAAGTTTAAAAAAATTTACCTTTTAAATTAACTTATACACATATAACTTAACAACAAACAACAATAAATCGTAATAACTTTATTTTAATACCGTATATTTCTTTTCTTTTACCGTACGCTTATTAATATACACTTAATCCTTACTTAATTATTACCCATACCTGATCCTTCTTACAAAAATTATTATTTTTATAATTATAATTTTTATTTTTATTTTTTTATATTATAAAAGAAAAATATTCTTTAATTTATATAACGTTTTTTTTAATTATATATATTTATTTAATTATTTATATCTTTTTAATAATTATATATATATAAAGTTATTATTTTTTTTAAAAAATATATAAATAAATATGTTTTTTATATTATATTAATTAATTTTTAAATTAAATTACGTTATAATTATTATTATAACTTTAAACGTTTTTATTATAAAAGTGGTTATATATATATTAATAAATAAATTTACTTTTTATAAATCTTTTTTTACTATTACCTTTAATTTATATATAGTTAAATAATTATTAATATTAAATTTATAAAGAAATATTTATTTTATTAATAATAATATTAATTATACTTTATTAATATTAATAATCTTTTATATATTTTTCTTAATTATAATTAATATTTTAACGTTTATGTTTTTTTAAAATTATTTATTTAAAAAATAATTATTTAAATCCTTTTATTACTTAAATTTAAATTTTATTAATATTAATTTATGAAAAGATTTTTAAAATTTTAAAATTTAAAATTTAAAAATATTTTTTAATTATAATATATATTATTATATATTTATACTATTTATTTATATTTTTTTTATTAATTAAATAAATAAATTTTTAAAAATTTATTAAATAATTTATTTAAAATATTATATAAATAAAATATAATTATTTAGTTTTAATTATATCTTTTAATAATTAAAATTACAATTAATAAACTTATACCTTTAATATCATTATTATTTAATAAATCTTTACCTTTTACTTATTAATTATTACGTAAAACCTTAAACCACATTATTTTATTATATTTATAATATCTTTTTATAATTAAAATATATACCTTTTTAAAAATTAATAAATTTAAAGTTATTTTTATAATTAATTATATTATAAGAAATCTTGATTTTATACGTTTATTTTTTTTAAAATAATAATTTTAACGTTTTATAATATATTTCTTATACTTATAAATATTTACCTTAATTTAAATATTTTTTTTTAAATATTATAAATTTATAATTATAATTTATATTAGTTTTTTTTAAGTTTAAATATTAACTTTAATTTTATTTAAATATATTATAAATATAAATTAAAAATTTCATCTTTTAATTAACTTTTTATTAAGTTTAATTTTAATATCGATTTATTTCCTTTATTTTAAATTATATTAATTATTAAATTATAAATAAAAGGTTTATTATTTTATAAATTAATTTAATTTAATATAACTTATAAAATGGTATTTAATTTATATTTTATATTATTAATATATATAAATTTTTCTTTTATTATATAAAATAATTATAACTTCAACGTAAATTTATAAAATATTTTTTTATTAAACTAAATATTTTTTATAAAAATA